TCTCCCCCCTCCATCTCCCCCTCCCTTCCCCCTCTGCTGGACTACAATTGTCTTCTGCTGACATGAGGACTTTGTATCCTGAGGCAGCGCATGGGAGGACATTCCTGCAGTGCATGGATCAGGTACACTTCTGTGCAGGTACATGGAATCCCCAGCTTATAACAGTTCATTTAGTGACTGTTCGAAGTTACAACAGCACTGAAAAAGTGAGTTATGACCATTTTTCACACTTACGACCATTGCAGCATTCCCATGGTCATGTGATTTACATTCGGATGCTTGACAACTGGTTCATATTTATGTTGGTTGCAGAGTCCCGGGGTCACGTGATCCTCTTCTGCAACCTTCTGATCAGCAAAGTCAATGGGGAAGCCAGATTCACTTAACAACTGTGTTCCTAACTTAACAACGGCAGGGATTCGTTTAAGAAATGTGGCAAGAAAAGTCACAAAACTTTAACAAACTCTCTCGCTCAGCGACAGAAATGTTGGGCTCAATTGTGGTCATAACTCGAGGACTACCTGTGCTTCAGTTTGAATTCCACAGAATGTAGGCACATCCTGTACTATAAAGCAAGCAGAGCCCCCCCCCCCCAATAATGCTCTCTGGATGGAGGGGGGGATCTTGGTAAGATTCTGTGAAAACCAAAGAAGGGGAGGGAGGGATGGGCGAGAGGGAGCCGTCCCTGGCTAGGGAATGGATGGTCCCTTCAATGCCCAGCAGGCCTTCTCTCCTTCCCCCTCTTTGTTCTTGCCCAGTCCTTGTCCTACAGCCCCCCTTGTGCTAGAACATCCCCCTCCCCCTATTTCCTCTGCCTCCGTTTCCCCTTCATCTGTTGTGCTTTTTCTGTGGAAAAGGGGGGGGGGGAAGCAGGTTGGAGATATTTTTATGTTTTGTGGTCTGAGATGTAGGTGGGTGCACAGATAAACTTTTACAAATGAAGAAGTTTACCAGCAGCAAATTCCACTCTGTGGTTAATCTTTCAGATGTCGCTGCACTGGCCTCCCCCATTTTTAGTTTACATAGATGCCCATCAAGGATGGCACAAAATGGCATTGAATGTGTGTGCAGTGCTGCTTCCCACCCCTTTCCCCTCTTCCTCTGGAGTCACGTGTGTTTGGGGGAAAATACCCTTTGGGGGATCCCTCAATGTTTCTCCCCCGCCCCCTGGACCAGTTTGCCATCTTGACTGGACAAGACAGCCATCGTGGCTCTGCCCCCTGCCTTGAGGCTGTCAGCATATCAATGGGGAGATGGATCCCTAAGAACACGGATGGCTTCTGATGAAGGGATCAAGGCTAAGATCTTCCACCTCAATAGGGCTGCATTTCCCCAGGCAGAAACTGTGCATAACATGGGGCTTTCTCCTGGATCTGAAGTGGATGGGAGAATTGGGGAATCAAACACAGGACCCAAAGCAAATAACAACAACAACAATAATGGTATTTGTGACACATTTTTAAATGTTCAGTTGACTGAGTTTCATATTTAATGAATAATAATAAAAAGACCCACTGCACTACTTAGTGCCGTGTTTATTAGGCAGCATGTGCTGCTGGAATTCTCCAAAGACTATTGAGAGATGCACTTGTCTTTATACATCTTAGAAAGGTGGGAAGGACCAATGCGTAAGTCACACCTGATGTAAGCATGCATATTTGTAGCTCAGGTTCCTTCTTTTGCCTGGTTGCCTTCAGAAACCCAAAAGGGGGAGGGGAGGTAAGGCAATAAATCAATAAAACATCTCATAAATAATCTAGATGAGGGAATAGAAAGGGAACTCATCAAAGGTGCACTTGACACCAAGATGGTCCCTTTAGAAGATAGGCTCAAGAACCAGAAGGATCTTGACAGACCTGAGCACTGGAGCCTACCTTAACAAAATGAAAATCAACCTTGATAAAAGTAAGGTTTTATACTGAAGCAAGAAAAAGGTGCAAACTAGGTGAAACTTGGCTTAATGCCAGTAATTGCGAGAGGAATCTTGGAGTCCAAGTAGACAGTCACTTAAATA